ATAGGCTCTTATCTTCATGCAAGACCTCTCTTCCACTAGTCTGTGCCTGTTTCCTTCATTCGCATCTATTTATAGGACTTAGAATATTATGCTCAATTCTCCATTTCTGTGCTTGTTTATTTGTTTGATCTCTGCATTACTAATTTGGAATATATTCTTTCCGTAGAGGGTAAGTTGATCGAAGGAAGAGATTATAAAGATTGGCCAGACATAAACATATTTCAAGGTCATGCCTACTATGTGAGAACATTATTCTGTATTCTTATATTAGTTTCATCAGTATTTGATAATTTCCATCAGTCAACATTGCCACTTGGGCGCTAAAGGACCATCAATTTAGATTGAGGTTCTTAGCGATTGGATATGATTTATGTTCTAGAACATATTTAGATTGTGGCATCTTTGATAAGAAGGGGAGGAGACATTACAACTTTACTTGCTACTAACTTTTTCTTTTTTGGAAATTATCTTGCATGCCAATGCATCGATGCAGCTCGACTCTTGCGTTAAGAAAGGGTCAGCTTCTGACTTTCATAGGCTGCTTTTTGATGGAAAAAGGTAGAGAATATTCTGTTTGTTTTTCAATTTCATGATGAAATGAAATGAGCATACTTTTGTTGATAGAATCATACCATATTTAGTCTTCCACTTTGACAGACATGAATCCTCGACAGGCATCTCAGCATTTCTGTGAGATGGGAAGTCAATTCTCCTTGGAAATACTAAAAAAGTTAAATCCATGAGGAATATCTCTCTAAAACAAGGAGGTCAGGGTGTCAGATCCCAATTTTAATGTGCAAGGAAATAATGTACAACTCTTTAAAAATGAAAAATAGATATGATTTCTTTAATGGGTTTTTGACAAGAATATCTTTGAAATGAATTTACTATCGTAAATAGAAAGAAGCAAGTTCAAGGGAACATGCATCTTTTCTTGTTGTCACCATGTAGTCTTGTTCCGTTTTCTTCATTTATTTTATTTTTAATTAGACCCTGCATTCTTTTTATTCCCTTTTATTTATCTAGCCTAGACTTTTCTGCTAGCTACCACTGCATTTGAAACCATATTAGAAATTGAAATCTGACACCAACTAAATAGTCACACATGTTTCATTATTATTGTAACTCCAAAATTAAGACTTCTTTCTGGCATTGTCCATCTACATTCGTACATATATTTGGTTATATTACCATGCAAATGTTGTATACATTTTTTCAAAAAAGAAATAAAAAGTAATAGCTACTTGATAAAATAAAATTCGCAATATAGTAACTATAACGAATACTTAGGCCAACTATAATTTTTCTTCATTCGCATACATTTAATCCAGAGCAAACTTCAAAATTGGACTAATTGGAGTTGTTCTCTTTTATGGATTTCATCCAATACCTTATAGTGTTTATCAGTTTGTTGTTTAGGTACCACTATTCCATATAATTATATAGCATATTAAATGAGTCAGGCAATGACTTGGATTGGTCAAAAGGAAACTTTCAAATAGGAAGCAAATACGTAAATCTTGGAAGAATGCACCTATTTTTAAGGTAAAAAAGAGATCAAATACCTTGGCAAATACTTCACATTTGTGAGGAAAGATAAAATATTTAATGTGATTAAGGGACAAATTGGACTAATTGGAGTTCTCTTTTATTGATTTCATCCAATACCTTACATTGTTTATCAGTTTGTTGTTTAGGTACCAGTAGACCATATAATTATATAGCATATTAAATGAGTCAAAGGCAATGACTTTAATTGGTCAAAAGGAAAACTTTCAAATTGGAAGCAAATATGTAAATCTTGGAAGAATGCACCTATTTTTAAGGTAAAAAGAGATCAAATACCCCGGTAAATACTTCAAATTTGTAAGGAAATATAAGAAGATTTAATGTGATTAAGGGACAAATTGGACTAATTGGAGTTGTTCTCTTTTATTGATTTTATCCAATACCTTACAATGTTTATCAGTTTGTTGTTTAGGTACCAGTCTACCATATAATTATACAGCGTGTTAAATGAGTCAGAGGCAATGACTTTACTTGGTTAAAAGGAAAAATTTTAATTTTGGAAGCAAATATGTAAATCTTGGAAGAATGCACCTTTTTTTATGGTAAAAAAGAGATCAAATACCTCGGTAAATACTTCACATTTGTGAGGAAAGAAAAAGATTTAATGTGATTAAGGGATTAGGTTGGGTGAAAGACCATGGTAATTGAAACCAAAAGAAGTGTTTTTCAGGAAACTTTAGGGTATAAGCATTACTATCCATTTAAAGATTATCATATATATTTAATCAACGGCATGTCATGGCAATATAACATCTTGGGCATTTTTGTTGTTTTATCTCATCACAACAATCAGCCCTCTGTATCATAGTTTGCAAAACCTTTTGCGGATAGATAATTGTATAGCGGCTGTTTCTGTTAAGAGATAAACATAGTTGGCCTTTTTTTCAAATATATTATAGAGATTTTTTTTTTTCAACTGCTGTTAGACACAGATTTATTGTTCGTGAATATAACATGTCAATAATATTCTATTAAACACATGATGAAATTTAATGATTCGATTATGAGCTGACTATGAAATCATTATTATATACTTACAGGAAAACTCATCATGAGCAATATTTGATTCTTAAAACTGAACAGAAATTAAAACTTAAATTTTCTAAATTTTAAAAATTCTAATTTTTATATAAAACGGGTCACTTTAATGCCCTAAAGGACCATCAATTATTCCAAGAGATTTTTATGATGTTTGTTCGTTTAATAAGCTACATTTTATTTATTTTTATTTGAAATTGACTATAATAAATATATCAATTTGAGCAATGACATAATATTCTTAGATAATGTTCTTTAGAAAAGTCTATATTTCATACTTCATTCAAGTTATTGTTTTAATTATTTTTAGCCCAAGTCTCTAGGTTAACGTTAATTTAGAAAATTCTAGAAAAAAGAAAGAGAAAAGAAAAGAAACGAAAAAAGTTCTCCTATAAAATTATAATTCTACCCTTTCAAATGCAATAGAAATAATGGGCCTACCCCAACTATTTCCATTATACAGTAGCATAGATAACACATCCAATCCACGACAAAAAGATAATCAAAGAGAATCTAATTGACAAATGTACAGTATTCCAAAACTGGATATCTGAGACCGAACAAATTATCCAAGAAAAATCATATATATGAATATAAGAGGGACGTAAGTTCATCCATCTTATTCATAACAATCAATTGGAAGCACAGAGGATTCCTGTAGAGCCTAGAAGGCCATAAATTATAAAAGGGACAAAAGATGCATGCATCTAAACAACAAATTATTTGGTGAAGCCTTCCCATCAATATTGACAGATTATCTACCCACCCTCAAACTAATGCACTACGTAGCTCTTTATGCATGTGATTATGTTGATAGCCCCAAGACCTGGAAGACTCCTAACCTTACTTTTGAGGCCCAGCGCACATAAACTTTTTAATTTATGAAGAATTCACTCGACCAAAACTTGTGTCAACTCAAGTGGATAGTAAAAAGTTGTCCACCAAACTTTTTAGCAACTCATATAACCCATGGATCCTTGCATGATATGAAAAAAAAAAATTATATTAATAAATAAGTGGTTAAGAAGTTTGGTGGACATCAACTTAAGTTGATAGGAGTCTTACTCAGAATTCATCTATAGGACAATAAAACATCAATTGTTTACAATGGTCTAAGAATGTGTACAGAGGCTTTTAACACTAGGAACAAGTAAGGTCAATATAAAAGTTTCACTTCTATAGTTCTTTTAATCATTTGTCAATGTGTTATTATTATATTTGGTTGTCATTTTCTTGTGCGTAGGGCTGCTCAATAATACCACCCACCACTATTCTCCTACCTCAAATCTGTGGCTTGTTTTAAATACCAACCCCACATGGAACAGCTGCCGATTATCTACTCTTCACTTTTACTCATAAATGAAAGAAGGTACACATTATAGAGAACCAACATGTGGGACATTTCAATTAATGTTGTGAGATCATCCCTGATTTGATGAGCACCAAAATATTAGGTGTTAGATTCAAGCTGGTTGTTTTATGAATCCAGAAAGGGCTTGTTAGGTTGCATTTTTTGCAATGAAAATTTTGTAAAAATGATGTAAAAATGTCAGTTAATGGGCTTCACAGCCAGCTTTCATTAATTTACCATGTTTGTTTGAATCTTCTTTGACATGAAAAACTGACACATTTTGATGAGATGTAGTAGAAAGCAAAATCGCTCCAATTTGGAGTGGTTTCGTTGGAAAGCTGACGCCGTGCCAGCTGGATACAAAATAAATGAAAAACAAAAAAAAAAAAAGCCCTCCGTGTGATTACAATGACCATAAATTATTTCTTTTCCTTTTCAACTTAGTCCCTTGATCTTTCAAACTTTGAATTAGCCCCTCAAATCTTTGTATTAGTATTTGATTCCATTCTTAATGATTTTCAAAATTAGCCCCTCAAATAATTAAAATTACAATAAGGTCCCTCCATTCTTATGAGTTGTCTTAAATTAATATTAATCATTTCGATTGCTACAAGTTAGGAGAGATAAATAGGATTATTGAAGTGTTTTGTGTATCATGGTGGTATTCCCATCCATTATAAATTAAACATTTTAATAGAGTACACACAACTATCAGTTTTCAAGTTTACATGCTATCCAAACAATGTAATACTATTTATTTTAGGATTTATAATGATTCCTAGCGAAACAATGTAAATACTCAAATGGTAAGTGGTGAGATGGATAACCACTTTCCATATTATGTCATGAATACTCTAGTTTTCCATATTATGTCATGAATACTCTAGTTTCCCTAAGGCACCAAACAGCCCCTAATAGAAGCAAAGAGAATCAAAGGACAGCTCAAAAGAGAAAAGGACCAGTAAAGCCACATACAGAAATTAAGAGCTGGAGACAGCATCCAACTCAATAAGCAGTAAACAGCTGGCCTAAACAAATAGAATTATGGAGTTTTCTTGTTGAATAGATGAATGAGGAGTTTGCTCACAAAGTTTCCGACAAAAAAGAACACAGGATTACAACATATCAATTACAAACAGTATTCCCTAAACATACATACACCACAAAAATCATTGTTACAGAAACCCTGAGCCCCATGACAAAAATTCACAAATTTATACTGTATGTGGATCTGGGTTTGGTATTGTACAGTTGCATTTCATACCCCACTTTGTTTTCAATAAAATAGAGCAGCTGGTGGCATGTTGTTCCAGTTGCAAGCCACAGCCTACTTTATTGCGGAGAATCAGTGTGCTTGCCCAACGTGGAACTTTAATCTCACATTCCATCCAAACTAATAAAGAATTGAAGTAGTCCAGCCTTCAGACTCCCTCTTTCCCACTTACAGAGCTTGACTAAACAAATGCAAGCACAACTCTTCCTGTTATCTACACATAGAATCAAGAATCATATGCGGGGTCAAAATTCTCTGATGATTGATCCTGTGCTAGTTGCAGTCCAATCCACATTCCTCCAGCAACGGTCCATCGGATTTTGCCAAGAATGGATCGATTCGAACCCACAAAAGGGAGAAGATAGAAGCAAGAAGAATAGACCAGACAATGATGATCGTAGGTGTTCTATTTTGTCGACCAACCAAACCTTTGAGAAAGGGATAGAGATGGACAATCACCCAGAACGCAAAGAAGAGTTTACCAAACAAAGGTCCCCATGATTCATAACCGTTGTTAATGGCATTCGAAACTCCAGCAACTACGCCGATTATGTTGACTATTAAAAGAGTTGTTGGGGGAATAAGCAATGTGGTCCATTTGAAGGTATACAACTCTGAAAAATCTTCATCGTCACTGGCTTTTGATGTCACTGTGAAATTGGTATCAACACCCGCAAGGACCTTCAGAAGACCTTGAAATAGTGCGAATAGATGCGCTGAAACACCCCCAATCACCCAAAACTGCTCATTTCTCCACCAATCATCAATACCGACTCCACTCCATCTCATTTCAAGGATACCCGTTGCAAAAATACAAATGAAGAGTGACATAAACCACAAGCTCGCAACGTTGCTAAGCTGCATTGAGCATAGAAAGGTCAAAATTAGCAGAACAACTAAAGAAAGTGAGCCATTCACTAAAATGGGTCAGCAATGAATAAATAGATACCTCTGGAGTTATGAACTTTCCGGTGAGCAAGCAAACAGCAGGCAGCGTGCAGTATGCCAGAAGAGGCAGAGATGTGAGAGGATAAACAACGGAATTTATGTACGAAAACCTCTCTAGCCATTTCAAGCCACCACCATAACCATACCATAGTGGACAATGACGAGACAATAAAATTTCAACTGAACCCAGAGCCCACCGAAGAACTTGATGAAGACGATCCGAGAGATTAAGGGGTGCAGAACCTTTGAAAGCAGGCCTCGGAGGAATACAATAGATTGATCGCCATCCATGGCAGTGCATTTTAAAACCAGTCAAAATATCTTCAGTGACTGAACCATAGATCCAACCCACCTGAACATAATTTGGAAAGGATTTAGTTTAAAGCTAATTGCACACAGAAGCACCTTAGTAATTTATGTAATGAAAGGACAGAACAAATAGCTAACCTCTTTACCCCAGTCTGTCTTATCTTCATAGCCACAGCTAATGACATGAATAGCTTCTTTCAGTAAAGAGGCTGGAGTAGCACTCTTCAATGTTCCACCGTCTTCAAGAAGGGTCGATGCAACAAAAACTGGAGATTGCCCAAATTTCTTTTCCAATTTTTGCTCAGATATAAAGGCCTTCTCACTCTCAATACCTAATCAATATTTAATTCAAGTTAAATGCTGTGAAAGATGTATGAACCTGGAATAATTGGCATTGCTTTTAAAAGAAAGAGAAACAAGAAGGTATTGTATTTGATAAATTGGTTAATTAGCAAGATTTTAAATATCAAGCGATAATATCGATTTATCGCCGAGTTATCAGATTTGAACCCCTTCTGCTATGATAAGTTCAATTTTAAACCGGTTATCGTTTTTGGATGTTTATCAGTGATAAAGTAAGATACTGGCTGATTTTATCGGTCTAAAAATCAGAATTATCGGCTAGATTTTGTTTGGTTTGGGTTTTGATTTAGGGCAATGGGCACATATTCAAGAAGCAAGTTTCTACAATTTGTGAGTAATCCTAAACATGTTTATTTACATTTTGGTATACTAGTACGCAATACGTGCGTTGCACGTGATGCATATTAAAAAACTATAAGAGTTAAAATTCATAATGTTTCCATAATTATGCATTAAACTTATTTAATAAATTATATAATATATAATGTTTCCATAATATTATATTATTTAATAAATTATATATATACATTAAAATTTATTTTATTGCACTATGATTAAAAAATTTTAACTTATACTAATATTAGTACTTATACTATTATTAACATACATTTAATAGTTATTTAAATTTTTTTATTATTATTTTATTAAACAATTTATTTAGGAGTATAATTATTAAATAATAATGTAATCATTAGTTTAAGTAATACTATTGATATAATTAAACCATTTAAATTATTAAATATTTATGTCATGTACATATTAATACAATATCTATTAAATAATGGCAATAAATTTTAATATTATATGACTTTATGTTGTAAAGAATATTACCTTGTTCGATAATTAATATCATCTCAATAATAAAAAATTGGATGGTATAAATTAAAAATACTATTATTTAGAAAAATTATTTTTTATAAAAATATTGGATCCTTGAAATATATGAGACATTTACTTTCCAACAAAAAATGCATGACTCATAAATTTCAAAGATCCAATATTTTTTTGCACTATGTTCATAATGTCTAATTTTTATGACTAAGATAATATTATAATATAGAAAAAGGGTATTAATTATTATAATATAAAAAATCCTATTTATACTATTATTAATAATTATAATTATGTACAATATTTTATTAAAAATAATTTTACTATTTCATTACAATTAATAAATATTTTATAATAAATTATAATATATTTATTAATTTTATTATCATTATAAATTATTAGTATATTCTAGCTAGTGGCCAAATATTTTGAAGAAAATAAGAGAAAAGTATATGCCTCATAAATTTTAAGAATTCAATTTTTTTATATAAATTAATTTTCTACTTTCTAAAATAAAAGTATTTTTAATTTATAACATCCAAATTTTTATTACTAAGATGATATTAATTATCAAACGATGTAATATTCTTTATAACATAAAGAAATAACCCTATTTATACTATTATTAATAATTATAATTGTATCCAATAATTTATTAAATGAATGACTTTTACTATTTTATATAATTAATAATTATTTACAATAAATTATTATATACTCATAAATTTTGTTATCATTATAAATTATTAATATATTCTAGCGAATGACCAAATAATTTGAGAAAATGAAAAGGTGCATAGTTAATGAGAGGTTATGGATCATTAGGTTTATAATTAATGGTATAATTTTGAGTTATAAAAAAATTGAGAGGGTAAAAAAGGAAATCAAAAGTTTTGACATGTCAAAAGTTTTGACATGGGTATTCTCTTTTATAAGTAGTATAGATTAATTTCATTAGATATGGTTAGATTGCATTTTAGGATATTATATTATGTATACACACCATCCGATATGTCACTCCGATAAATACTACTTATCCTCGATATATCCCCGATATCTGCTATCCAAATAAATAACATTCACTAGCAACTAACTTGTGAGTTTGCAAGTAGATGATCAATACACATATATGGGAAGAAGGTTTATAAATAATATTATTCATAAGTCTTTAAACACAACATCTAGGAAGCTAGTGAAGTCATTCAAAAAAACATATATCAATTTATCCTACCTGAAAAAAGAGACAAATAGGCAGGCATTCTTGACAGTATAAGTAGTAGCTTTTGGTCAGCTAACATTTGAAAGTATGCATACCTTCAAAGCCCTCTCCAATGCCCTCTAAGGCAAGAACAGGTGCCATGTTATCTGCTCTCCTACTAAAGAACTTCTTTTTCTTTCCCTGCTTATTCTTTGAAGTCTTCTTCTTCTTGCTCCTAGAACAGCAGTTGCAGCAACACCACTTTGGCCAACAATTGCAAGTTCTTGTAGGTGGTTTTTTCGCCTTTGGGGCATCATAGCCATAGAGAGCCTGCCTTCGGAAAACACATCCAGTACCCACATAAATTGGTCCTTGAATTCCATCCAGACCTTTCATGTTAATCTGCAAAATAAAGTTTTTGCGATATTATATTATCATTAGCAATAACCTACTAGATAGAAATAAGAAAAATATAAATATCGTAAAAGGCCAAATAAATGTCTTAAGAGTGTTACTTACATCAAAGAACACAACGTTTCGATTAGCATATCGATCATGTCGATCGATACTATCGAACCTCTGAGGAAACTGCACATAGCAGACTTTCTTCCCGACCAGTGGATCCATCATGAAGCACATAGACTCCCTAAGTGCCTTACTATTGTTGATGTAATGATCACAATCAAGATTCAGCAGGTAGGGTGCATTTGTGAGTACAGCTGAGACTCTAACCTACCAACACAAAGAATCAAGGCAGAAATTGAATAAGCCTTGGGAAACTTTCACATGTAAGAGCTGGGAGCTAAAAGAGATGTTTTTACCAGAGCATTCATAGCACCAGCCTTCTTATGGTGATTAAACCCTCTGGGAGCTAAAAGAGATGTTTTTACCAGAGCATTCATAGCACCAGCCTTCTTATGGTGATTAAACCCTGGTCTTTTTTCTCTAGAAACATAAACCAGTCGAGGGAGTTCATTCCCATCCATGTCATGCCCACCACTTTCACCAAGGAAAACCTTCATGCCAAATTTAGTCATCAATAATGTTGAAATGATCAAGGATAGATAACATATATATAAGAAAGGGCTAGAACAAAGAAGTATACCTGGATCATTCCAGGATGATCACGAACATTGTTTCCAGGCCAAGGAGTTCCATCTTGCATTGTCCACCCTTCTTCAGGGACCTTTTGAGCTTTCGAAACCAAAGCATTTATACGTACCTTGAACTCTTCATATTCTCTCTGCAGTTATCATCAAATATTTTACCCCGACCAAAACACAAGAACCATTCAAGAAACTCACTAAAAAAATAGCTATGCACTATGGATACCTTCATTGCTCTTCGTTCCTTTACAAAAGAAGGTAAAACCTTGTCCTTCAAATAGTCTATCTTCTGCTGGAAATACCATTCAGGTGCACGTGGTTCAATACTGAATTTCTTGCAGAATGGTACCCATTTCTTCGCAAATTCAGACGTTTCTGATAATGCTTCAAATGTCAGCATTGCAGCACCATCATCAGAAACATAGCAGGAGACTTTCTCAACTGGGTAATCAACAGCAAGAATGGACAGCACTGTGTTTGCTGTGACCAGAGGGGGTTCTTTCAATGGATCAACAGTACTCACAAAAATGTCTACTGGTGACAGTCGAGACGGCACCAGAGGGGGTTCTTTCAATGGATCAACAGTACTCACAAAAATGTCTACTGGTGACAGTCGAGACGGCTTGCCTTCCTTCTCATACCTTTAGAGAGGAGTTGAAACATTAATAAGTCAGCCTTTCCATGAAATTAACTATAAAAAAATAAAGTTTTGCAACATTGGTTTACCTTAATGATAGTCTATCTAGATAAGTTTCCCTTTCAATTGGGAGCCACTTTGGAAATTGATCGAGTATCCATGAAAGGGCAAACCAAATTTCACAAATCACAGACACAAGCCACAGTCCAAATGCATCATTCACTGGATGTGTGACTCGGTAATGGAAAAAGAATCCAAGAACCACCAGCCGAATAACAATGATTATCCTGTATGGATTTATCAGGCTGGAAGAAATTGGTATTTTTCTCGACAAAGGTTGCCTAGCTTCATCCATTCTGGTCAAAAAGATCACATCGTTAATGTTGTGAGCGATAGGAGCATTTTAATCAAGAAAAGTATGATATTTTACACCATATCGTGGAAATTGAAGACCCTAGAAGCTTACAGTGGCAAATCTGGATCATCCCCATCATCCCCTTTTCCACCATTTTCATTTCTTGCTGCCTGCAACTTTTCTTGCTTTTGCTTCCACAACTCCATCCTCTCCTTCCATGCAATACTTCCATAGCCATAGGCAGCAAGATCCTTGGAAGGATCCATGGATCTTGGTCGCACTGAAAGCATACACAAAGAGTACATAGTTCTAAGCACCACTTTTTCAGAAGTTTAGTCAAGTAAATTTAACGTGATCCTATTTTTTCTTGTATATCCTTATACCTGGAATACTGGGATCAAGAAAGGGCAGCGGATGGATCCTTTTTCCTCCACCACCCGTATAAGCAGGAACCAAGGCGTGCTGATCAGAAGGGATGTCATCGACCTGTGATTAAATACCATCAATAAATTCTATGAGGAAAATATACAAACTGCCACAACATATTCTTGTACTAGAGAAGGGGAAACAAAATGGAAGTGGAAGAGGAAGAGACGAGAGGAATGGAATGGGAGGGGAATAATCCAGCTGAATAATATTATTGGTAGGCATGATACGGATTACTTTTGCAAAACAAGCACTAAATTCAAGCAACTAGTATTAAAATTCAAAAGGATATGTTCCAGGCTTACAATCAGCTATGTGGACTCATTTTCTTGGATTAGTATTGTTAAAGGCAATCTCTTCTTCTACATTAGCAATAATGATGCATGTTTGTTTAGTCCACCTAATCTAGCTGCTCCTTCAATAATGATCCTTTACTCCTAGGCATACTCATCAATCTCAGTAGCACACCTTAATGGGTAGTAAGCACCACGTCTGATGATCATGGGTAGCTTAAAGAAAGCGACATGATCTAAAACCACCTCAACATTTCAATCAACTAGGTTTGGTTAAACCTATAAGTATGGTGTCAACCATTAATACCCTTAGATAAAGGTCAGCAAATGTAGTAAGAGAATCCAATTGCTGCTGATAGTGAGAAGTAAATTATAGTAAACACATCAGCCACTAGGTAGCAAAGGAGACCTAAAAATCCTAAAATTGAAAGGGGAAACTGCTCATGTAAATATTCAGAACGCTCATCTACAAAACTAATGGTGTGTTTGGGAGTTTACTTAGGGAAGGGAAGGAAGGGGAAGGAAGGGGAATTTTTCCCCTTCCTTCCCTTCCCCTCCATTACACCCCAATTTGGGGTGTAAGAATTTAGGCCAAATTTCCCATCCATTCCCCTCCTCTACCCTCCAAAATAAAACTCCCAAACAAGGTTAAAATGAAATTTCCCTTCCCTTCCCCCTCTCTACCCTCCATCCAAACAGGAAATGAATAAAGATGACAACACAATAGCATACCATTTCACCATTGGTAAGCAAAGGCACATTGGACACGGAATTAACCCCGTGAGGCATCTCCGTATCCGACCCTCGCCCAAATCTCATGTGACCCTGCAACATAGCCTCAGCTCCATACTGCATGTCCTCCCTATCCCTCCCCGCAAAACTGAACTCATTATCAATATCATCAAACCCATCCTCTTCCTCATCTCCGGCGACTCGCGGGCGTCCTACAAGAACCAAGCTTTCTTAAATATATGCGCTCTTTGTAAACAGAAACCATCAAAAACCCACAAACAAGCAATTTACCTTTGAGCCTCTTAAACCTAGTTTTGCACTGAGGGCAAACTTGACTACCCTCCCTCCGCTCGTAATCGTAACAATCTCTACAGACAGGGAAAGCACACTCATTGCAAGCAACAAAGAGCTCCCCATCAGGAGTCAACCCGACGTCATCCCCACAAATCTGGCAGATTTGCCCACTCACTTGCTGCAGAGGCTTCGGCTGCAACCAAGCAAAACATCACAGATCAACACATTACTCAGACGAACCAATCCAAAATCGAACTCTAACCAGAAAACGCAACTCTTACCCCAGACTCCCCATCACGGCGAATGACCACGAGCTCGTTCCTGTTATGGGAGCCGGCAACGAGGCCAGCACTGGCCTCCATTTACACCAGATCTGAAGAAGCTGATCGATGCCCACTTCCAAAGATCCGACTTTGACGCGAATGGCGGAACGCCCGGATCGATTTGGGGGAGGGGAGGGGAGGGGAATGAAACCCTAAAGGGCCAATCTTTCTTGCTGGCTGCCACTCGTCTATCAAATGTGAGCCTTTTTATGAGGAGGTCCGCCGACAGTGAAGAGCGAATGCGTCAAAATGAGGCCTCTCTCGTATAATTCAGATAAAAGCGAGAGAGAAAGCGACGGACCATCGAACAAAAAATGACGGAGAGGTAAACCCCTGAGGTCTTTCTTGTTTAACTTCACCTAGAAAGAGAATTTGTGTGCGTGTTTTTTCTTTTTTTTTAACAGAGGAGAGAGAGAGAGAGAGAGAGAGAGAGAGAGATTTTTAATGGCGAGAGAGAGAGAAAGAGAGAGAGAGGAAGTGTTAACAGGTTGGCGCACGTGGAGTTCAGTAGTCGACACGGTTCTTTCTGCCTTCCTGGATCCTGCTTGGCAGTGGGGCCCACGCGCGGCCTCTAGGGTTTTCGGAGGGGATTTTGATCGCGGGGCCGGTCAATCAACGTGCTGCTGAATACGATGGAACTTCTTTTTTTTTTTCTTTTGGTGAGATCAGTTTTATGATGATGGCGGTCTCGGGCTCGGGCTTGATGGCAAAGAAAGTCACGTGATTTAGGTGCAAGAAATGACCCGCTCTCTGTGCTCGCTGTTTGGTTAGAGGGAATTAATAAGAGGAGACGGGTGAATTTAGTTTTTTTTTTTTTTTTAATTTACTCTCACCTAGCGTTCTTGTGTCGCTCTAAAAGAGGGAATTTTTTTGTCTCTTCACCTTTAATCAGCTCATTTTATTTATTCCCCCTCCTCAAGTTACCCTGTACTACCCTCACCTTACTCCTCTTTCTACCAAGCCAAGCGAAGAGTATTGGTATTTGGTAAGAGGCCCAGAAAAAGGAGGTATCTATTAAGCGGGGTGTTTGTTTCAAAAAAAAATTGTCATTTGGGTGGGATTTCAAATTCTAGGATCAAAAAGTGGGTTTTTTTTTTTTGGGATTTAGAATTCCATAAAACTTGTTTGTTTCAAAACAAATTTTAGAATATCAAATCCTCAAATAATAAAAAAATATTATATTTAAGGATTTGTGAAATCCTCTTTTTTGGGTGGGATGTGGGGGATGGAGGATGGAATGGAATGTTAAATTTTTTTCCCATTTTCCTCACCTCTAATTTTGGGGTAGACGATGGAATGAAAATCAATGTAAAATTTTACAATGTGATAAGACAATTATACCCTTATGACATTAAAATCAATGGCTAATATATACTCGCATCCAATATGCAAGGGTATTTATATAACTTTATACATATTCACTTCACTTCCCTTCCCCTCCTCGTTATTAGAACTCCCAAATAAGGTAAAACAAATTTACTCCCGTTCCCCTTACTAAACTCTCAAACAACATTTTATCTTTTCACTTCCACTCCCTATCTTTCCTCTCCGTTATTTAACTTTCAGTTCCTTCCCTTTGTTAAACTCCCAAACAAAGCAACAAGAACCCCTTATCCGACATCTTCCACAACTACCCCTAATCTTTTACTCTCCCGTCTCATATAACCGTCCCAAATTATGGGTCCAAATGGAGCTATTCTAAATGTTGAATAATTCGGGGATTATTTTATTTATACAAACACCCGTCCTCCGAAACACACAACTCTTCTTATGAATCAAATCCCTAATCACAAAATGCGGCAGCTCAACTGCGTAAACCAAACAACATTGTTTACGGATCACCACTAAGAAGAAGCTGGAGAGGTCTAAAATTCATACAGAGGTGTCGTCCAACACAAGAACGGAGAGATGTTAAATTGACATTTACAAGTTCGGTTACACGTTATACGATTTCGATCAAGTGTTGTTAGCTTACGTCATGTTTCCCGCATTTACACGTGCATGCTCATTTAGAAAAAAAGTCAGTTAACTTAAAGACGATCACGTAGAATACACAAAATAAAGTACCACCATACCGTGAAGCACAGGGCAACGCTCTACAACCCGAACCTTTTGGGCCTGAGATAGGTAGACCCCCGTTTCATACCGGGTATCACCACTTGCTGCTGCTGCTTTGCCTTCTTCTCCTTCTCTCTTTGTGCTCTCATTACATCCTCAACCGCCTGCTCTTTCCTCAAGTTCTCCATCTCCTCCTCCATCGCGGTCTTCGATTCCTTCTGCTTCTTCTTGTGCTCTAACATCGAAGTATCAGACTCCTTCACCGAAAAGAACATAGGCCCAAGTTCTGCAAGCCACTGTGGCTCAACAGCAGTCACACACTGCATATACTCCTTTGTCGTAAGTATGAGCTCATGATACACCACATAATCCGGTGTGTAACCAAGACCATACAGCGCGCTGCTTGGATGTAGATGGCAAGGCATCCCGTTTCTACAGTTGACATACTCTCCAACACCCTTCAGCCTTGCAGAGTTGTGGAAGTATGCTGAACAAATAGCTTTTCTAACTACATCCCACTCCATGCCGCACGAGGTTAACGGAATTTTTAGGGATTTTAGGATGTCTAAGAGCTGAGATCGGACTTCCCTTGCCTTTCGCAACCCCTTGACATGCAAGAAATGATCGTTGCACCAATCTCCTCGGTACTGATTTGACTTCCACTGCTGGTAAACGTTCAGAAGTGTCAAATGATCAGACTCCGGAACAAAAAACTTCTCTCTCGCAGCATCACTCTCCTCAGCTCGATCCTTAGGGCGGAAGAAAACTGATGGCACAGAAAGCATTGAAACAATTGTTAAAACCTCATTGAGACATTCTAACTGCTCCCCCATTAAAAGCATCTTGGCCAATGGGGGATCCAGGGGAAACTCAACCATTTTCCATCCAAGCTCAGTGAGGCTGCCGACGTTGTTCAGGGCACCCAAAACCCACAGCTGATACATGGAATTGAGAATGTTATCTTGTGGTGGAGGATCCATGAAGTCGAAATCTAAGAGATTTTCAATTTTCAGAGACTTGAGCAACAAGACAACATTCCCAAGATTGGTTCTTTGAATCTCAGGAACCGGGTTGGGTAGCATCTCATTCTGGTATGCTGACTCAGTGTACAATCGGTAACAAGTCCCGGGGCCTGTTCTTCCTGCTCGTCCAGCTCTCTGATCAGCAGCTGCTCGACTCACTGGAAACACTTGGAGGGCATCCATACCCATCCTAGGATTATATACTTTCATCTTGCCATAACCTGAGTCAATCACATAGAATATTCCATCAACTGTCAATGACGTCTCGGCAATGTTGGTTGCCACAATGCATTTGCGGGCCCCATCCTCGGCTTTCTGGAAGATCTTGGCTTGAAGG